GTTCAGTAGACATTCCAGAGAAATCCATTGTGTCTGGGAAGTCTCACTCCTGTGCAAGATATTGGTTTCAGGTTTATGAGTTCTCCTGCACAGCACAGTCCTATCACTGTTGAGGGACAGTAAATTTAGGCTTTCACCCAAAGTATTCTTACACTTTAGCCACTGGTAAACTACCCTCAGCCCCTTAGAATTCTCTAATCTCTTTCACCAAGTTTTTCCCAACAGTCAGATGTATCTATGGAGTTGTAGGTCCTCCTCCTGTTCCCCACATGCTGCTGAGGATGTCCAGTCCCCATCACACAACTTGCTACAGAGAGCACAGTTTGTGAGCTGTGGAAAATCCTGACCTAAAATTGCAAGAGGTGTAAGAGAGACTCCCAGGTGTAGTTCTGTCCTGCAGGAAGAAGGCTGCAGCCTGCCCTCAGCTGGCCCTGTGGGAGATCAGGTGTCTTTCCCACGATATAACTCCCAGTTGTATCAGGAACTGCTGCCAAATAGACACTGTTAATGTGCTCAGAAAAGCTTTTTGCAGTTTTCTACAGTTTAAAAAATGGAAGAGAATCTTTCCTTGCAATAATGGAAACAAAAGTGGCTTCAGCCAAACTAAACCCCTCAGCAAAGAATTACTAGACAAATGATGTTATTTCCTCTCTGCAATGGCCTTAGATTTATGCTCTCTCAAAGAGAAAGGACTGAAATGCTGCAAAGACAACACAATGCAGCTGCACCTGCCTTGAAGAACAATTTATTTGTTGATTTTTTATACCATTAGAGCACAAATGTGACAATGAGATGGAGATAGGTGTCAGAGAGAGTCACTTGGCTGCCTCAGAGGGAGAGAGCTAAACTTAGAGAGTGGATAAGGTTTCCTGATTCACCTGGATGAAAGGGAAGTGGAGGGTGGAGAGGACAAAGAAGGATAGAAGGAGATAGAAGGAACTCAAAAGCTCCAGACAATGATCAGACCCAGATGTCAGAGGTGCAGTCCCCCCCGGGGTAACGCATCTCATGGGCCAGCACAGGCCCCTCGGGCTCCTTCCCGAAGTCCACCAGGAAGTTTGGATTCACTTTCAATCCACCTTTTTGAGTGTCCACATCAATCTGCAGCATGACAGAGCCTTCTCTGGCAAAAGGGACAAGAAAACAAGGATTAGGACAAGAAAATAAGTATTGGGAAAAGGATTTGGTTTGTTGTTCTTCTCTTCTGCATTTGGGCAGGATTTGTCTTGGATTAAAGTGAAATGGGAAGAATCTCAGATTCCAAATGGGCCTTGGTGGGTCTCTGAAGTGAGTTGCACCTTCCCAGTGGAAGTGCAACCTCAAATTAGCAAGGAAGGAGTGAAAACTAAGCGCTGATGTCAGCTGGAAAGGAACAGACCAGGCGCACTTTGCCCTCCTGTGGTCATCGGGAAAATCATCTCCTGCAATTCCAACCAATCCTGACACACTCTGAGGCAGTTTTGAAGGACTGTGGACTCCAGGTCATGCTCACCACTTTTTTCCCATTCTCAGCTACTTCCAGAGAGCTCAGATTTGAACACAGTGTGTGTGCAGACCCCAACTGCTGAGTGCTGTCTGGCAGGCATGGATTTGGGATGGATAAACCATAAATTGATAGTTTGGCGTGAAAATGTACTGGATTTGGTCTCTCTGTGAGGGAACTTTGCTCTATGCCCCAGAACACCCCTATTTAAGACAAAAATTTGGGCTGTTTGCTCACTTGAGAAGGTCTGGGTAGAACTGCTTGTCCCATCCACTGTAGAGGGAACTGGTGACGTACAACCTCTTCCCATCCAAGCTAAGCTGAAGCATCTGAGGTCCACCTGGGACCTTCTTCCCCTAAAATGGTGAGAGAAGAAGGTGCCTAAGCCAAGCTGCCATGGAGGTTGAATAAAAGACGTGCAACAACAAAGAGAAAGGAAACGGCACAGTGGTTCTGCCTGGAGGACTCCAAAATCTTCAATGCAGGAGCACCGAATCCCTGACTTTGGGGAGGGAACAGGTTTTATTGGGAGACTTATTCCTTCCTAACAGGAGCCTTGAAGCTGTGTCAGATTCACAGAATTACTCTGGTAAGAAAGCAAGGATGAAGAATGTGGGACCTCCTGGAATTGTTTTCACAGAATCATGGAATCATTAGGGTTGGAAAAGCCCTCTGAGATCATCAAGTCCAACGATTAACCCAACACCACTAGAGACCATGTCCCAAGTGCCGCATCCACAGGTTTTCTGAACACTTCCAGGGATGGCAATTCCACCACTTTCCTGCCTTTGGTGGCCAACAGAGCTTAGTCATGACCATCATTAGTTCTTCCACATCCGGACACGTTCCACAGGCAGCTGCCCTGATGGCAGTAACATCGGGTTAATGGTTGAATTTGATGGTTCTAGAAGTCTTTTCCAACCTTAATGATTCCATGACATTTTGGAACTGACAAGAGAGCAGGGTTAGATGGGATACTGGTGAAGGAATTCTTCCCTGTGAGGGTGCTAAAGTACTGGCACAGGTTGCCCAGAGAAGCTGTGACTGCTCCATCCCTGGGAGTGTTCCAGGCCAGGTTGGATGGGGTTGGAGCACCCTGGGCTGGTGGGAGGTGTCCCTGCCCACAGCAGGAGGTGGACTGACATGATCTTTAAGTCCCTCCCAACCCAAACAATTGCATAACTCCATGATTCTATGATTAATGCACACAGATAGGGACCAGAAGCAATTAATGGTCCTTCCCTTTTCTGTCTCGATTCCAGGGGCCACTAAACCCCTCAACACACAAACACTCACAGCAGAGTGGAATGGTTCAGTGCTCAGTCCTCACTGGTGGCAGCAGTGCATGCACACAGCTCTCAATTAGCTAACTACAGCAGGGCAGAGGTAATTACACAGGCTACAGCAGCTGAACAGCTTGTCCGATTCCGCCAGGGACACAGAACACGTCCGGGATTCCCTAGCTCCGGCCAATGCCCAGATGTGACAGCAGCCCAGGCTGTAAGCCAAGCTACAAACTCCCTCAGATGAGGCTTTCCATGTTGGACATCTTAAAATGGATTAAAATCAGCAGAGCACTGACAATGTGCATATTGGAAAACTTACTTGGATCACAAATGGCTCTGGCTGACACTGCAATTCCTTGTCTTCCACCACAGTGACAGGTCCTCCCTTTGGGATGCTTCCACCCACGAACACCTGCAGTGCAGGGAAGGTGTGAGAATCACAGAATCACAGAACAGTCAGCGCTAGAAGGGACCCACAAGGATCACCAGTCCACCTCTGGCCCTGCACAGTCCCAACAATCCCACCCTGTGCCCAAGAGCATTGGCCAAACACTCCTGGAGCTCTGCCAGGCTGGGGGCCGTGTCCACTGCCCTGGGGAGCTGTTCTAGAACCCAAACACCTCTGGGGGAAGAACCTTGTCCTGATATCTCTTCCCTGACACAACTTTAGGCCATTCCCTCAGGTCGTGTCACTGGTCACAGAGAGACAGATGGGTGCTGTTCCTCCACTTCCACTTGTAAGGAAGCTGTACACAACCATGAGGTCTCCCCTCAGTCTCCTCTGCCCCAGGCTGAACAGACCAAGTGCCTCAGCCCCTTCTGGTATGGCTGAGAACAGGTATGAGGGAGCAAAGGAACAGGAAAGCAGTAGAGTGACAATTCTCCAACAAAGGCAAAATGTCATTTTCTCCTTTTAAAAGAGAAGGAAATAACCTCTGAGTTAACTTCTAAGCCTTGTAGGTGATGGATCTCCTGCTGCTGCCTCACCTGTCCCACTAGCTTGGGCTCATGGGTGTTGGAGATGTCATACTGGCGGATGTCTCCATGCAACCAGTTGCTGAAGTACAGGAATCTGTCATCCAGTGAGATGAGGATGTCAGTGATGAGACCTGCAAGAAAATATTCAGAGCAAAGTCAGGAGATGGACAGGAGCAGCAACAAACAGGACCATAAACCCATGATCTGTCAAAATTCCAGTAGGGGCAGCTCAGAAAAATGTGTTCAGATATGGGTTGGACAACAACACTCCACCTTGGAAACCCAAAAACAACCATCCTTGGAAGCCCAGTGCCTGCTCCAAGGAGTTTCACGCTCTACCACCATTCCTGGGATCTGAGTTCATGCTGAAAGACCCAAACTCCAAGGATTTTTCTGGAGAAAGTGACCTCAGGCATGGAGTAGTGTGGGAGCAGAGGACAATCCCCTCCTTGGTGGCTCATTTGGTTACCTCAGGAATGTCACGTGAAGAACCCAAACACAGATTTGGTATTTTACAAGGAAGCTTTTGCCATTTAAGGACAAAATCATGCAAAAAGCTGCTCTCTGCCAGGGAACTGATGAGAAGAACATCCCATTTCATTCCCATGGTGCTCCCACTAACCAGGCATGTCTGGGAGGAGCCATCCTTGCACCTTCTTGCTGGGCACTTCAATCACCTTCTCTGCTGCCCAGTCTCCTTTCTGCAGAAGGCACAGGAGGGAACACAGCATTATCCTTCAAGGAAGCACTGAATCATGGAATATCCTGAGTTGAAAGGGATCCCCACAAGGATCATCCAAGTCTAACTCTTGATTATTGCTTTGAGGAGCCCAGGAGGGCTCAGAGGGGGGAGGAAATGAAATAAACAGTGGGATTTATTGAACAGGTCCTGTATAGAGGTGATATACACAGGAATGCGTCACCAAGGTGAGGGTGGTGACCCCACTGCCATCAGGAATGTCAATAGTTTTACTACACAACAATACCTCTGATTACTGTCACAGTAGCAAAATGAAAGATTACTAATCTTCTCCCCCTTGGTGTCCCATCTGTCCCCAGGCAATGTCTCCACTCATCTGCCCATACCTCCAC